ATGGATTTCTGCGTAAGGCGATTCGAGCATGCACGTCCTTTGTCATCCAAGGCAGAGCTAGGCAGCCTACTTCATTTAGTTTACATGCTTATTTAAATTGCTTACTTAGTTAATTTGTTGATTAATTAGAGTTGTGTAATAATTAGCTGTAGCTTGTTATTCATTTTGTTATGTAATAACTAGTTTAATTAAATTAGCTTAGATTAGCTAGTTAGCTTGTTATTCGGACCCTCCGTCGAGAGGGCACAACTATTGTAAATAAATGTGCATGTGTGTGATGCATGTCTTCCAATCCCCCATTTCTTTCTCCCTTTTATTTACCAACTTACGATGGTTAGTTTTAGGGCATGTTTCAATTAGCATCCTTATGGTCGCATGTTTGCATCCATTCATTTGTTTTGCATGCACCGGGCTCAACGCATCGTACTAACTGCATCATATTTCAATTCTTGCTTGAATACATGTATTAAGTTGCATTTCACATGACATTTTAGAATAGCCGAGCCTATCTTAGCTGCATTCTTGCATGGGTTGCATTAGCCATCTTAACATGAACTAGGATTATGCATTGATTACTAACTAGTTTCTGTTTTGGCTTGGAGTACTCGGTGAGTGTTTTTGCTTTAGCATCCTTGCATGCGTGTGAGTGACTGCCATGATAGCATGCTTTCCATGAAGCTAACTGCTTATGTGATATACCTGCATGAATGTTTGTGGGTGAAGGTTGGATTATTTAAATTGGAACAAATCATCGATTGCAAGTTTTAAGCCCACTTGAGAGTGACAAATCACCATGTTTTCTAAGCCCACTTGAGGGTGGCAAAATCCACATTTTAGCCTACTTGCGAGTAGCAAACCGCTTTCAAAAACAAACATGAGATGTTTTGTTCCAATTTAGGTGATCTAGTCTATACTTGTATCCTGTGCGCATCACATAATGATTTTAGGTTAATAACCGGAATAAGAGCACATGTGTTTTAAAAAACAAGATATCATGCTAGTAAAGGCCGATTTTTGATCGAGCGAGTAGGGGTGCTCATTTCATGACCTTCCCCCCTCGTACCCAAGTTCCCGAACCGAGGCAACTTTGGTGATCGTGGCCTTAGGCACGAGTCAGGATTTCCTAAATTTCCCAAAAATAAAATATTTAGGTGGCGATTCTATATCTGGCAAAGCAGTCCATGTTTGACACTTCTTTCTAAAAATCAGTTTTTCAAAACGATTTGCCGGATTTGGACTCTTTGGTGATTTATCGATCTTGCATTGCACTTTGTGAGATCAGGTTCAGAACCGTGACATTGAGTCCGAACTATAGTAAGCTCCAATGAACAAAACGGGATTTTCCCGGGACGTTCGGGCGCGTCTACAGTTGGCTCGTTATGATGACTTTTGCATCATTCCCCCCATTTGTTGATGTTTTTTCCTTACGTGTAAGGTTCTCTATCATCAAGAAAGTTTTCTTCGTTGTTGATAAAAAAAAAAAAAATTTAAAAAAATAAATAATATTTGCACATCAAGTAGAGTAATTTTTTATTTTTATTTCCTAATTATACATTTGTCATAAAATCTAAAATGCATTTATTACAAAATTAATAAATATTTCATATTTCATACATCAATCTTTACCAATCACGTATAGTAAAGTTTTTAAATTTTCTTCCAAAATTATATATATATGTATCTGTCCATATATATATATATATTTGTACTATATATTAAACAAAAGAGACTTTTCACGAAGAACCTTGTAAACGACTACTACACTTCTAATTAAATTTGTGAATTTTTAATTAAAAAATAATTTAGAAAACACTACTGAATAACCCATTAAACCAATAATTATTAAAATAGTAATGATTTCAAATTTATGTTTTTCTAGAAAGAAGATAAAATAATCTCCTTCCTAATTTATCCAAATCTGTTGTCTCTCATAAAATCCAAAAGGAAAAATTAAAAGATATCCAAAATACTAATTATAAATTTTCAAGTATTGATTTATCTACCACATTTAATTTAAAATCTATATATAAACAAAAATGTTGTTAAGTATTTGAGTTTTAAAGTGTCAATGTAATTTTTTTCAATTTTAAAAATACAAAAATACACATGTCATGAAATTATTGGACATTTAATCAATATGATAATATATTGGACATTTATTTAATCTTACCTCCTTTAAAACATTTTTAATTAGATCAATATGGTAGAATTATAATAAGAGATTTATTTATAAATCCCATTTAGAGGACATATAACCCAATAAGGAGGTGTTTGTTTGGTAGGATTCACTCATGGTATAGGACTCCATATTCGGAGTATAGAATAGTCTATTATTTGGTGTAGAAATTTTAAACTTATTGGATTATTCTATCATAATGAGGGTATGGGACACAAAATGCAAGATAACTATTCCCATGGAATTAGATAGTAAAAAAACATTTTTGACCCTCTACTATTTAACATATTTTTCCTCATTATTTTTCACATAATTCTAGGCATGCTGCTCACCTTGTGGCTAAGGAAGCAAAACAACTATATTATGCATTTCTCTTGTCTTGTTATATAATTATGTTGTTCTATTCCTTAAAAAATAAAAAAAATAAAAAAAAATCAAACAAAAACAAAAGGATTAAGTTGTTGTATTTTTGGGATGGTGTTCCTACATTTGTGTATGTGTTCCAAGAATTGTGTTGTGCTATTTTAAAATAGTGGAAGTTAGTGTTGGGTTTGTTTTGACCTAATATTAAGGAGCTAAAAAAAATTCAAATTTTATGCATTCATGGTATTAATTATACTTAGTAAAGTAAAATAAAATTTAAAAATCTCAATTAAAAATTAAAATAAATTTATGTAATTTTTATTGATGTTCTATTTATTTAATTTTTTAAAAACTCTAGTCAAAAAATAAAATAAAATAAAATAAAATTTACAATTCAAATTTAGTATTCCTATTATTTAGTAAACAATTCAAAAGGACAAAATAGTTTTTTGAGCATTTATCATTCTTCTCAATATCTCAAACAAATATAAGATTAAAAAGAATAGTCATTTCCTGATATCTAATCCCATTTTTTTTTGATCGGCAAAAAAAAAAAAATATTACATCAGAAAAGGAAACAGATGTATGCAAAATCATTGTAGCGAACATACCAATCCCAACTAGGTTGACACCAATATGACCGCCCAATCCCTTACAAGCACACCATCACAGTTAGTGAGCAACCAACCAGAAGAAAAACAAAACAAAAAGCAACAGACAACACAAAAACCAGCACAGCAAAAGGTCACCAACAGCTAACATCCAGCAAAACCTCTGATTGCAAAGTCTCCACTACTTGAACAACACCTAATAGAGAATTCTAATCTCATGACTAAACAAACATAAGATACACATCCTTTCTAACCAAATAATCCATGGACTATGTATCCTAGGATTAACGATTCGATAGATTACAATCTCCCATTATCCAGCCTGTACAAACAAACATGACCTAAGTCCACAAAGTATTCTTGTGTTCCACCAAGTCTCATACTATTAAAAAAAAAAAAAAACCACTAATCTTTGCACATCAAGTAGAGTAAATTTTTTTTATTTTTTTTTTAATTTCCTAATTGTAAATTTGTTGGAAAATATAAAATGCACTTATTACAAAATTAATAAATATTCAATATTTCATACATTAATCTTTACCCATCAAGTATAGTAATATTTTCAAAATTTTCTTCCAAAACTATATCTATGTCTATATCTATATCTATCCATCTATATAATTGTAATATATAATAAACAAAAGAGACTTTTTGTAAAAAGACTTATAAAAACTACAACCACTATAACAAAACTAACTATTTACGGCATCATGTTTACGGCATGCATTAAATACAACAAAACTAACTATTTACGACATTATGTTTACGACGTGCATTAAATGCATATCATAGTTAGTATACGACCTTTTTTTTTACAAGTCGTTAATGTTTTGTCAATAACAACATACATGCCATGTAAGTCGTTAATTCATATATTTATGACATGTAAAAGTATGCCGTAAAAAATGTATGCTCTTATGACTTACAAAAATATGTCGTAAAATATTTGTACTTAAGACGACATGCATTTCATGTTGTAAAATATTATAATTTTACACGACATGCTAATGAATGTCATGAAAACTTGTACAAAAAAAATAAAAATAAATACAATCTGATTTTTTTATGGCATGTAAAAATATGCTGTAAAAAATATATATTTTCATGACATACAAAAATATGTTATAAAATATTTGCACTTAAATGTACAGCACCATCAACCTTGCCCTGGCCATCTGCAATTAAAATCCCAAAAGAAAAAAAGGATGTGTACCATGGATCGAGCTGGGCCAGTCAGCAAAGCAGTTTGGCCCGGGGCTGATGGATTCGTAATGATCTCTTGATCGGTTGTAGAATGATTGAGAACTCTGTCCGTCGGTGACTGTGATTGTGCCGTAGAGCTTCTCTCCGTCGATCAAGCTCCGTGAGAACCTCCCTAAACCTCTCCACCGACACATCTTCCGGCGAATTGATGGAAATCGGTGCCGGATCCTCGGCCTCAGCGTCGCTCAGAATGGTTTCCGAGCTCCTTCGTTCCAGTCGGAGAATACGCCGGCGCCACCATGAACGACGGCGGATTTTAGGGAGAGGAGAGAGAGGCCGTCGGAGGAGATTTTGGATGTAAATGAAAAAATAATAGGAGCAGCGAGAGTTGAGAAAAACAGAGCAGAGCTAAGCTAGTATATGTTTAGAGAGACAAATAGTTAAATTTCTCTGATATATGTGTAGGGACTTTAGACATCAAAAATTTTTTTTGTGAATCTCTTCCATTATGAAAAGTGGGAGAGGGACCCTAGACTAATTTTCTCTTTAAAATAACAGTGTTTTTTTTTTTTTGGAACAGATTTATTAGCGATCTTTTTGCTTTTGGAACAGATTTATTAGCGATCCTTTTGCTCACACTTTCATTTTCTTTTTGTATATATGTCTCTCTCTCTCTACCTCTCTCTCTTCTCCTGCTGTCTCCTTTCTCTCCATCGACATCTCACACAAACACACGAGCACCACCAGAGACAACCACCAGAGACAACCACCAGCCACTGCCAATTGATTGATTCCGAGCTTGGCATTTGATTCGGTGAGAGCCTTGGATTGCATCCCTTATTCGATTAATTCAGTTTCTCCTCTCTCATCTCTCTTTGATTTTGATTTGATTTCTAGAGTTTAGATTTTGATTTCTAGGGTTTTGATTTTGATTTGATTTCTATTCAATTAACCTAAATTTTTCTCCCTTGCAGTTTCATTTCAACTTTACGATCTCAACCAGCAAGGATTCATAGAGAGACAGGAGCTAATGAGGTATTTTGAATTGTGTTGTGTTTATGGCTCTTCAATGAAAATTTCTATTGATTTGGTTATGTAACATGTTTTGATGGTTTGAATGTCTCTGTTCTTACAGAAATTGTTTCCAATTGCTAGTTGAATTTGCTTTGTTCTGAATTTTGATGGAGATATTAGTTGCTTAGTTAGTATTATTAAATTTAACTGCTATGCTTGATAACTGATTCACTGTATGCTGTATTACTTGTACGACTATGTAATATTGAAGTTCACACTATTTCATGGGTTTTAAAAATCCTATGAGCCCTTGCCTGTGCTTGAAGATCAACCTGATAGGACACCACAGAAAATATATACATATATTTAGAAGTAAATGTATATATTCACCACCTGAATACGTAGAAGTAAATGGAACAACAAAAATCAATTTAAGTAATAATATCAAATATGTAAGGCTTCTAAACAGAAAGGACCATGGTTGTAAGAATTGTGTGATTCATGATTAGATTCATACGTTTTGATACGAGTTTCAACCAAAAAGATGTTTCACCCCTCTTATCAAGAAATAAAGGGATCAATTAATTATATTAATGAACATAATTATATATACATGTATATATAATTTAGTTATATTGATATTCATTTTATTTTAAACATTGTGTGTATTTTTATATGTATATACACATGTATGAGAATATATTATTTTTTCATAAATTATATTACATTATATTAAACAAAGTGCTCTTATGATTCATGATTCACTATTGTAGCATAACAATTCACGGTTCGGTTCGCTATTTGACAATAATGGAAATGACAGATAGATTGGGAGAAAAAAAACTGTTGAGACTCACTAAAATGAAAATTTATATTGTGTCAACAACTCAAGCCAATTTATCCCAGTTGGATAGCCGATACAAATCTAATCAACAGATCTACGGCATTCAAGTAGGCTAAATAAAGAAAGAAACGCACCATCCACGGGTTAAATGTTTCGTTTCAACAGTCTAAGAGGTACACTTGCAGAAATAAAAATCACCATATGGAGAGAATAATCATAGAAATAATAAACCTCTAAGAAGGAAGGTTAAACTAAGAAGAAAAAGAAGAAAAAGAAATGGCAATCATAATTATGTCTAGTTGGACATGCACGCATTATGTATTGAGTGTACCTCGTAACTTTGCATAAAACTCTCATTTTATGTCTAAAATACTCGACATTAGTTTATAAACACAATTTTACTCTAAATAAATGAAGTACTTAAGAAATATGAAATCAAGCCATATTTTGGTATCCTCTTGGACATGACAATTAGATGATATGTCACACTTAAACACAAACCTGTACACAACACTCGTACCCAAGTCCAGGAATCCATATATGATATACCACACAAGAACTTGGCACCTTTTGAATTGTAACACAATTGAAATTGAGGCTACACCGGTAACTGGTTGCTGGAGATAGTCAAACTTGGGTTTTAATCACTTGATTTGCAAGATATCACCTATTGCTTGGTGCAATGGCAAAAGGTTTGCGCTGTCAAGTGTAGTACACAGGTTCAAGTCTGCGAGTAACTATGTCGTCCAATTAAAGGTAAAGGTTAGGAACACTAAGTAACATAGATAATTGCATCAATATAAATTTCACTGTACACATAGCAATAGCAACGGCAACAGTCACTATGTCAACTGAATCATTTCTGATTATATAGTTCTTCACGATCAAATGCACAATCTATGAAATTGAAAACTAAACTTTGAGAAAGTACTCATTTAATCTGTCATGACCTTATCCTGACTCTTTCATAATATATTCAAAAAATACAAATAAAAAAAAAAATTGCTTACTAAAAATAAAAAAAAATATAAGATTCCAATATTAAGATTCCAAAAATGACCTTATCCTGACTCTTTCATAACACATTCTCAATACAAATATTATAAAAATATAAATTCTCAGTACACATCTCTATATTCCAATATTATCTTCATTTTCATTTTTAAAACCTTAAGGCTATGTTTGGTTTCGATTTTTGAATCATTTTTTTTTTTTGAAATTTTTCTGAGGAAAAAAATAATTAATTTGATAAAAATAAATACCAAAAAATATTTTTAATTTTTTTTTTTTGCCCCTAAAAAGATAAGATTATATTAAAACAAGAAGTTTTATTTATTTATTTTAAAATATATTCTAAAATTGAACTAAACAGAGCTTAATTTTTATTTATTTATTTTTTTCCCCATTCTTCTACTTCTCCTTTACTGTTGTTGCCGCCAGTCAACCTTTAGTGGTTTGCGGTGGTAGATTTGTGAGTGTGGTTCATGACGGAAAATGATCATAGGCGGAGAGGGAAAGAAGTGATGGGAGAGGATGGCGGATGAGAGTGGTGGCACTGGCGATAGCACTACAAGAAAATCAAGATTTAGTAGCGTTTTTTATTGCAACAGTATAAAAAATGCTGCTATAGATGGGCTATTGTAGCAGTTATTGACCGCAACTAAAAATAAAATTTTGAGTAACATTTTTTTCCTAAAGTGCTACTATATATTTTTTTATAGTGGCGGTTTGACCTTAAACGTTACAAAAAGCCAAGGAAAATAAGAAGGCCCGCCAAATAGATTTCTGATTTTGCGCGAAATTGAATTTTTTAATTTTTGGACTAAAATTCTGATATGTTAAAAAAAAAAAAAACCGTTCATCTCCTTCTCCTTGATTACAATTCGTGCCCTAGCCTATCAAAACTCCTTTTTGCGAAGTATCAGAGCCTTCGTTCATCCTCCACCGCGGCGTGTTGACGACATCAAGCTTCCTCACCACTGTGATTTCAAGGTTAGTCTACTCTCTCTGTTTCTCTTTCTCTACCCCCCCCTCTTTCTTCTGTCTCTCAATTTCTTTCTATACCCCTCTTTCTTTCTTCTACTGTCTCAGTTTTTCTTTCTCCCTCACTGTCTTCTTCCTCCCTCATCCTCTGTTTCAAATTACACCCCACTTCATGTTCTTTACCCGTTCCATACCAATTAGCAAAACCCTTTCACTTTGCTCTGTTCGATTTAACTCTGTTATCTACTGTCATTTCCCAAACACTATACCTATGAAACAATCATGAAGATAAAGAATCCCATAAAAACATAAAGCATCTTCGGACAAGTTTGGGTTCATTGTTAAGATCCCCAAAACTCCTCTACTCTAAAGAATTTCATGAACATTTTGAATGATTTTGATTTGGGAAAATAATTTATAAAATAGATTGATTAACATGTTTTGCATTCTGATTATGATATTCACACACACATATACATTTGATAATCTATGATATTCATATTTTAACAAATGTAATTAGTGAAGTGAATGGATTGTTGTTGATATGTTTTGTGATTTTTAAAATTTTTTTAGCCAGAAATTTTTTTTTTTATATGTTTAGGAATTACTTTTTTAGATGTATAAAAAATTTGGATGACTAGTGCATATAATTTGACTTTTTAGATAATTTTTAATTTCTTTTTTAAGCAATGATAAGGACCCAAAAAAAGTTATTAAAAATTTTGCAAAATATTCACAAGGGTGTTAGAGCATTCTTACCTGCTTACTTATATTTTATCCTAAAATATTATTAAAAAATTCATTTCCTATTTTAAAAATTATCTTTTCATCTACTTCTTCCAACAAATTCCATACTCTTTCTCTATTGTAATAAAAGATTATTTTTAATTATTTTATATTTTTGGGGATGGAGCTGCTCAAGAACTAATCAATGATGGTTGAATAAAGAATAATTTTATATTTTTGGGGGTCAATAGTTGCTCCCTATAGCATCTCTTATAATAGGGAGTTGTTTTAGGAAACTTATGGATTGACGATTTTATAAAAAAAGACTTCCTAAAATAGGTAAGGGATGGATTTAGAAAATCCAATGAGAATGCTCTTAGATGCTACATGTGACTTACACCCAATCGAGTATTATATAAAATTTTTAATAATCTTTTTGAAGTAACATTTTGTTTCACTTTTTTTAACTTTTTGAGTTTATTTTTGTTTTTATTTTTTAATCAAAAAGCCAAATTTCCAGACAGGTTCCATGTATTGCTTCAATTGAAACGTGGATCTATTTCTGGAGAATTCCATTATTGAGCTTTTGTGGTGGCCTAGAAGGATGAAACAAACCAAAATGCTCTGGTACTTTAAGATTTTGTTGTGAGACCTCATTTTTTGCTATATGTAAATCATTTTGTTTTATGAATTTAAAGAAAGGGATTTTGAGCCCTCAATATGGGGAAAAGAAACAAATATCACAAAACGGAAATGAGAAAACTAATTGTAAAGTTTTACTCGTTTGCTATTAATTTTTTATTTTCACGAAAAAGAAAATTTGGTAATATGAATTCCTCCTACATGAGATAGACTGAATAAACCAAGCAAGTGAGTCAATACTAAGGTAAGATCAACAATATCATCCTTCAATTATCTTCATGTCATTAAAGTACCAAGAAGAATAAAAGATTCAACATGAGAATAATTAGGGGATAATATCAAATAACTCCTATTTTTCTAAAAAAAAAATATTAACACCATGTTGAGAAATTTGATTCTATGAAAACTTCGTTTAACAAAATAACACTTATTTAATATTTTTTGTTGTTTCTATATGTACTCCCTCCTTCCTCAACCCTCTATTTTCCCTCTCATGCACATACATTAGCATCCTCAAACCTCATTTGCCCTCCACTATATGATTTGAACATCAAATTTCATTGCTCCAAAAATATCCTAAAGTAAAATCTATATTCTTATTCTATCTTATTAATTAATTAATTATTTATTTTGTTTTTCATCTTTAACAAGAGCCTATCAAGTTCTTCAAACTACCAGACTGAGAAAGCTTTTTTGTCTTTATCTTCAACAAGAACGTACCAAGTGGCCCAAATGATGATAAGGGTTGGGATAGAATATCTTCTAAACTTTTTCATTAGATATGTTCTTTCATTTCATGGAAATCAAATTTTCCAGTACGATTTTCTTACAAAAAGCTATATGTAATCTCTCTCTCTCTCTCTCTCAATGAGTGAAGTACTGGAATTGGTAGCTGAAGGGTTGAGGATTGAGCCAAAGGACTGTGATTGTTAACCTTTTTGTGGGATCAAAACAGTGCGGTTGTGGGTTGGGGAAAATGGTGACGGCGGGGGTGACAACTTGGTAAACTTATAGGTATATCTAATAAAAGAGTATAGCTATTTAAGTTTAAAAATTAAATTAAACTTTTAAATTTAATGATGTAACAATTTCTTAGAATATTTAAGGTAATTAATTCTTTCTCTTTCTCTCTCACACATATATTTTATAATCATTAATCAATCATACTTTTTACACATGGTCTAAGAAGTGAATTGCATTTTCCATAATAAGAAGGTGTCTACAAATTTATTTCGACACCCAAATTTTTTAAAAAATAATAAATAAATAAATAAATAAAATAAAATAAAATTTTAATATCATTATACCCCTAAATTAAATTATCACAAAGCCCAAACCATAACCTCACTTTAGCAGCCCTTTCAAGCTCTGATTGGCCACTCCCTACTCCAATTTGCCATTCCCATCCCCTTCCTACTTTGGCTAACCATTGGTCGTTGCCCTTTTTCCGTTGTTGCCACCTCATTCTCTTATTTTTCTTCCAACTTTCGCACCTCCCTATCGTCGTTGCCTCCACCATCTTCGTATTCTTTTGTCCTTCTCTGACAGTGAAACCCTAACCTAGTCCCCTTCTCTATCGCGACTACCATCTCCCATTGTCCACTATGTCATCTTAAACCCCCCTCTCGCATAGTAACTATCCATCCCCATTGTCCTCCTCTCTATTGTGAAAACTTTCTTCGTAGCGAAACCTTAAAACAATCCCCTCCCTCCAATCCCCTACTATGCTTCTCTTCGTTGTCAACCCCCTCGTAGCCCTTTCCTGAACCCTAGATTTAGGATTTTTGGATCTAAGGTTTTGGAAAGAGAGAGGAAGAGGAGGAGGAGAAGAAGGGAATGAAAGTGAGCGATGGATGATGAGAGGTATCGGAATGTAGCTACAAAGGTAACTAGGAAGGGTTGGGGCTGGTGAGGGTAGGATTTGAATTATTTGGAATGTTGAAAGAAAAAAACTTGAATTTGGAAATGCGGCATTTTGATTAGTGAGGTGTCCAACTAAATTTTTGGGATGCCTCTAATAAAAGAGAATTTTTTTGCCCCTTTCATCATTTTCTATTGGTCGTAGAAGAAATGATGGAATTGTTCTTATGTGAACTTTTTTTTTTCCTTTTCCTGCCAATCTCAATACTATTTAGGATAAATTACACCAAATCACTTAAAATATGACTTAGTTGTATTTTACTTCTGTTAATTCAAAATGCAAATTAACCACCTCAAACTATTATTTTGTTACATTCAACATCTTTTGTTAGGATTTTGTCTCACAATTTAAGCAAAATAAGGTCATTACATGATAAATAACATGCGATAAGACAATGTGGCTATCATTGCATTAAGGCCCATTATTGGCTACTGATTAGTATTATGTAAAATGGTATTACTATTATATTCAATATTTGTTATATAATTAGAAATTGAGGCGGACATTAAAGGTGACCATTCAATAAGAAAAAATATATATAGAAAGACGGAAAATTCTACTGTAAACCCCCTATTATATGCACCGTTAGGTTATGTTATTTTCTTTTTTAAATATAACCAAGTTTTTAAATTTTTGGTTATGACTCATGTGTTGTTTGATTATGACATTATCTTTTTTTTAGTTATGACTTAAAAAGTAAAAAATTATGTAGTTGTTGTTGTTTTTTTTTTTTTAGTTGTAAGGTGCATACGATAAATAAGAGTGTGTACTATAGCCTTTTCCATAGAAAGACAAATAATTATATGGCAGTGACTTTAGTCCAGTCCAAGATCGAACTGGACCGTGCTTTTGGGTCCGTGGGGACCCACCATGGGTCCCGTTTTGATAATTCGAACTGTTCAATGTGTAGAACTCTTCGAGTACTATATGCTTGTAAAAAATCACGTTGATCAGATATCGATAGCTATGTGAACAAAACAGTGTTTTATCAACCGTTAATTTTTTCACCGTCTATTTTTTTTTTTTTATACAAAACTGATTTAATCACATAGCTATTGATATCCGATCAACGTCATGAGTAATATTTTTGAGTACTATTGTCATGTGACAAGTTTATATGTACCTTTTAGATTATGGTGTGGGCTATTAGTTTGCTACAAATATTGGATCTATTTTGTATTACAGGATTATGTAATGAACCTTTTAATTAAGGTGTTTTGGATATTTTGGGATTATGAAAATGCAGACTCTCTTACCTTTTACAATTATTGAATATTGAGCCATTAGAATAAAATAGTGTTTTTATAGATATATAATGAGTAGGGATAAGTGAGAGACAACCATTAATGGTTAGTAAATCATTGAAAATTTCAAGATATATATTATTGGTAATTGAATAGTAAACATAGCCTGTAATCGCGATTAATAACCGTCGCTGTAAATAAAATTCAAAAAGAATTCTATAGCTATAGCGACAGTATAAAACTGATGAAATAAAGTCAAAATATAGCAGCGGTTCACAAAATGTCGCAAAAGTGAAGGATATAGCAACAGTCGACCCGTCGCTATAAAGTTAGCAAGTAATAGGTAAATTTAAGATATAGCGACATTTATAATTGTCACTACATTGACCGTCGTAATAAAAATAACTATACCAGCGTTTGAGGAAAACGTCACTATAAGGATATGCCGACAGGGCTATTGCGGCGGTTTGGCCGTCGCTATTTCAACTACGGGTAAAGGTCTTCTAGTTTTTAGCGACGTTTTTTCTTGCTTTTAGGGACAGTTTTGGCCGCTGCTAAAAGTGAATTTTTTTGTAGTGTAGAGGATGATTGTACTGTTTTAGAATTAGGGTTCGAATAGAAGAAGAAGAAGAAGAGGGTATTATGGTATTTTTATTCTAGGATAAAATTGTATTAATGAAAATTTTCATTAAATGTGTGAATTGTGAAGAATTAGTGTGTGGAAATAGAATTACTCCTATTTTAGGCCAACTGTCTTCCAAAAAAAATACTAACTTTACCTTTTAATGATACGTATTTGGTCTCTCACTTCTTCTCTTTTAGATGTACTTTCTCTTTTTCCGTTTCTATTTCTGTTTTTGTTTTTGTTTTTTTTTTCTCCCTTGAAGAAATTCGAAGACAACAATGCACCTTTGAAGTACTAGTGCATAACAGGCATCATCGGTAGCAGCTTCGCCAAGATTCTTCTTCTCTCCAACACCCCCAGTGGCCCTTGGAAAGTCTACGGCGTCTCTCACTGCCCTCGTCCGCCGTGGAACACCGACCACCCCCATCGAATACATCCAGTGCGATATCTCTGTTTTAATCTGTTTAAAAGAATTACAAATGGCTTAACAATCCCCTAGCATTGTTGGACTGTCAAAATTTTAACTTAGAGCAATTATTGTATGTTATTAGTCCTGAGGTTATAGTGGGCGGCTTAGCTCATGCTTTGGACCTTAATATCCGCAAAGACATCCAACCTCTTCTGAAAGTGGAGCATCCAAAGAGGATTATTAAAATTGATGTCAAATCTATAAATTCTGAGAGATATGAATGGCTGGGACTCGGACACTACTATACTCGTGAAACTTATGGTCTCTTATCCCTAGACACACACAATAGAGAGAGGAAGTAGAAAGTAGTGACTGTTTTGGAAATTTGAAGGTTCCAAGGGATATTTTTATCTTAAAAAATGATTTACTCTTCATCTATGTGTGTTTTTTTATCTTAAAAAATGATTTACTCTTCATCTATGTGTGTTTCCAACAGCATATTAATTTCTAGTTAAAAAAAACAGCATATTAATTTAAATGGAAAACTATGAACTTTGTGTAAATTCAAGGTGGTGGTCTTCAAATGCCACGAAACTTATGTAAATTTGAACATATATATATATATATTTGGAATTTGATTTTGTTTTGTGATTTTTTTTTAAAATTTTTTTAGCCCAAAAAAAAAAGTTATATGTTTTGGAATTACTTTTTTAGATGTATAAAAAATTTGGATGACTAGTGCATAAAATTTGACTTTTTAGATAATTTTTAATTTCTTTTTTAAGCAATGATAAGGACCCAAAAAAATTTATTAAAAATTTTGCAAAATATTCACAAGAGTGTTAGAGCATCCTTACCTGCTTACTTATATTTTATCCTAAAATATTATTAAAAAATTCATTTCTTATTTTAAAAATTATCTTTTCATCTACTTCTTCCAACAAATTCCATACTCTTTCTCTATTGTAATAAAAGATTATTTTTAATTATTTTATATTTTATATTTTTGGGGATGGAGCTGCTCAAGAACTAATCAATGATGGTTGAATAAAGAATAATTTTATATTTTTGGGGGTCAATAGTTGCTCCCTATAGCATCTCTTATAATAGGGAGTTGTTTTAGGAAACTGATGGATTGACGATTTTATAAAAAAAGACTCCCTAAAATAGGTAAGGGATGGATGTAGGAAATCCAATGAGAATGCTCTTAGATGCTACATGTGACTTACACCCAATCGAGTGTTATATAAAATTTTTAATAATCTTCTTGAAGTAACATTTTGTTTCACTTTTTTTAACTTTTTGAGTTTATTTTTGTTTTTATTTTTTAATCAAAAAGCCAAATTTCCAGACAGGTTCCATGTATTGCTTCAATTGAAACGTGGATCTATTTCTGGAGAATTCCATTATTGAGCTTTTGTGGTGGCCTAGAAGGATGAAACAAACCAAAATGCTCTGGTACTTTAAGATTTTGTTGTGGGACCTCATTTTTTGCTATATGTAAATCATTTTGTTTTATGAATTTAAAGAAAGGGATTTTGAGCCCTCAAGATGGGGAAAAGAAACAAATATCACAAAACGGAAATGAGAAAACTAATTGTAAAGTTTTTACTCGTCTGCTATTAATTTTTTATTTTCACGAAAAATAAAATTTGGTAATATGAATTCCTCCTACATGAGATAGACTGAATAAACCAAGCAAGTGAGTCAATACTAAGGTAAGATCAACAATATCATCCTTCAATTATCTTCATGTCATTAAAGTACCAAGAAGAATAAAAGATTCAACATGAGAATAATTAGGGGATAATATCAAATAACTCCTATTTTTCTAAAAAAAAAATATTAACACCATGTTGAGAAATTTGATTCTATGAAAACTTCGTTTAACAAAATAACACTTATTTAATATTTTTTGTTGTTTCTATATGTACTCCCTCCTTGCTCAACCCTCTATTTTCCCTCTCATGCACATAACATTAGCATCCTCAAACCTCATTTGCCCTCCACTATATGATTTGAACATCAAATTTCATTGCTCCAAAAATATCCTAAAGTAAAATCTATATTCTTATTCTATCTTATTAATTAATTAATTAATTATTTTGTTTTTCATCTTTAACAAGAGCCTATCAAGTTCTTCAAACTACCAGACTGAGAAAGCTTTTTTGTCTTTATCTTCAACAAGAACGTACCAAGTGGCCCAAATGATGATAAGGGTTGGGATAGAATATCTTCTAAACTTTTTCATTAGATATGTTCTTTCATTTCATGGAAATCAAATTTTCCAGTACGATTTTCTTACAAAAAGCTATATGTAATCTCTCTCTCTCTCTCTCTCTCTCTGATTTTGTTTCAACAGTTGACCTGTGAGTGAAGTACTGGAATTGGTAGCTGAAGGGTTGAGGATTGAGCCAAAGGACTGTGATTGTTAACCTTTTTGTGGGATCAAAACAGTGCGGTTGTGGGTTGGGGAAAATGGTGACGGCGGGGGTGACAACTTGGTAAACTTATAGGTATATCTAATAAAAGAGCATAGCTATTTAAGTTTAAAAATTAAATTAAACTTTTAAATTTAAGGGGGATGCACCAATAAATCCCAAATTAATAACTTATATACTGTTTAGTCCTAAAAGTTTTCTTATAGACTGAAAGGTCCCATTACAATGTTTCAAACATCAGATTAATGTTTCGAACATTAGATTTCGAACATCAGATTAATGTTTCAAACATTAGATTGATGTGCAAATGGGACTAAATGGAGCATAAGAAATCTTTTAGGACTAAATGATTCAACTTTTCAGAAACTATGACTTATCGATAAATTTTCCTAAATTTAATGATATAACAATTTCTTAGAATATTTAAGGTAATTAATTCTCTCTCTCTCTCTCACACATATATTTTATAATCATTAATCAATCATACCTTTTACACATGGTCTAAGACGTGAATTGCATTTTCCATAATAAGAAGGTGTCTACAAATTTATTTTGAAACCCAAATTTTAAAAAAAGTAATAAATAAATAAAATAAAATAAAAATTTAATATCATTATACCCCTAAATTAAATATCACAAAGCCCAAACCATAACCTCACTTTAGCAGCTCCTCCAAGCTCTGATTGGCCACTCCCTACTCCAATTTGCCATTCCCATCCCCTTCCTACTTTGGCTAACCATTGGTCGTTGCCCTCTTGTTAATTCAAAATGCAAATTAACCACCTCAAACTATTATTTTGTTACATTCAACATCTTTTGTTAGGATTTTGTCTCACAATTTAAGCAAAATAAGGTCATTACATGATAAATAACATGCGATAAGACAATGTGGCTATCATTGCATTAAGGCCCATTATTGGCTAATGATTAGTATTATGTAAAATGGTATTACTATTATATTCAATATTTGTTATATAATTAGAAATTGAGGCGGACATTAAAGGTGACCATTCAATAAGAAAAAATATATATAGAAAGACGGAAAATTCTACTGTAAACCCCCTATTATATGCACCGTTAGGTTATGTTATTTTCTTTTTTAAATATAACCAAGTTTTTAAATTTTTGGTTATGACTCATGTGTTGTTTGATTATGACATTATCTTTTTTTAGTTATAACTTAAAAAGTAAAAAATTATGTAGTTGTTTTTTTTTTTCTTTTTTTAGTTATAAGGTGCATACGATAAATAAGAGTGTGTACTATAGCCTTTTCCATAGAAAGACAAATAATTATATGGCAGTGGCTTTAGTCCAGTCCAAGATCGAACTGGACCGTGCTGTTGGGCCCGTGAGGGCCCACCACGGGTCCCGTTTTGATAATCCGAACCGCTGAATGTGTAGAACTCGTCGAATACTATATATTTGTAAAAAATCATGTTGATCGGATATCAATAGCTATGTGATCAAATCAGTTTTGTATAAAAAAAAAAAAATAGACGGTGAAAAAATTAACGGTTGATAAAAAACTGTTTTGTTTACATAGCTATCGATATCCGATCAACATGATTTTTTACAGGCATATAATACTCGACGAGTTCTACACATTGAACTGTTCGGATTATCAAAACGAGCCCAAAAAAAGGCCACATGGGCCGAACTGGACGGGTCCAATCTTGATCTCAACTTGAGACAAGCTGGACCCTAATTATATTTATAACATAATTATTAATACTGATAATTAAGCATAATTGATCCTCAATCATGGTGGCGAACAGCACCATCGATAAACAATACTAATAATAGAATGATAGACATAATTTGACAGGATTACCACAAAAAGAACTAATGATAATAAGGCTTATTTTGGAAAGTTGATTAAAAGTTAATTTTTTAACTTTTTGATTTTTTTTTTTGGATCAAATTATCTCTTTATTTTTTTTTAAAAAAAAGTTAAAAAAACATCAAAAAAATTAACTTTTAACTTACTTTTCAAAATAAACTAAAAGGTGACGCATCAATAAGTTGAATTGTGACAAATTATGTAGACGGTGATAATGAAAATTATGGAGCGATTATCAATGCAAGCAATTGTGATAATTAAGCATAATTAATCAACACGCGTAACAGTAAGAAATATTTTTAACGATAAATAAATGAATAATTTGGCTGGCCAAGATTGTTGATGATAAGTAAAAGAATAATGTGGTTGGCATGTGGGTCGCATTGTGCCAAACTACTAATATATATACATGAGTTTAGAGGAAGAAGATGATGTATTTAAATAAATTTAGTCATATATTGGTTCACAAATCACAACGGAAAGGGCTCTTTTTTGATAAATCTCATTTATAACTGTTTTGTTCCATAAAACCCAAACTATTTCTGAATATTCCATTAGGTCCATTAATTGTAAAAGGACGAAATAACCCTCTCCGCCTCTCTCGCGTGTAACTGATTCTGCAAAACCCATTCCTATTCCAACTATTCAATCCACAAAATTTCCAAAACAAAAACTCAATCCACGAAACGATACTCACATCGCCTCTAGTAACCCTAGATTCACATCGCCTCACCAACGTCCTCGTCGTCCACCGTCGACCATCGACCCCAGATTCCTCTTCGTCTCACCACTGCGAAGGTTCACATCGGAAGGAGGGTGCTTCGTCGTTCGAAGATTCCTGTCGTCCTATTGAGTTTATTTCATCCACTGAGTGTGATCCATACCCACCAACCATGATGAACAAAAGTAAGGAATACCATTCCACCTTCTGCTTTTCAATCATAATGTCATCACCGATGTATACATCCACCTTCTGGTTTTCGGACTTGAATTTGTAAACATAGATGTTTTCGGAATTGATTTTGTAAAAATAGATGATGTGAACATTCACATTAGTGTTGATTACTGGCTAAACTTACAGTAGTAGACACTGACGTGAATATTCACAGCAGTGCATAATGATGTGAGCATTCACATCAGTGTATAATGATGTGAATGTTCATATTACTGTCACTGTTGATATTGTTCATTTTTGATGTCCACAGAACCCCCAAACTTCACTCAACAATGTGATGGAATGTGATGTAAATATCCACAATGTGACATCAATGTTGGACTTGTTTGTGTTGTTGGGTATTGTTTGGTGCTGTTGGTTCCCCCCTATGATTTTTAGCAAATTATAACATAATGTGATCACCCATGTAAACATTCACATTGCCCTGTAACTATTGTAGTTTTCGAAATTTATTTTGCACACATGGATGATGTGAACATTCACATTAGTGTTCATTACTGGATAAACTGACATTAGTAGACATTGATGTGAACATTCACATTACTGTCATTGTTGATATTGTTGATTGTTGATGTCCATATACAACAAGGGTAAATCCGGGATCGCTATATAAACATTCACATTGCCGTGTAACTGTTGTAGTTTTCGAAATTTATTTTGCACACATGGATGATGTGAACATTCACATTAGTGTTCATTACTGGGTAAACTTACAGTAGTACATGTGAATGTTCACATTAATGTCAGAACCCACAAACTTCACTCAACACTGTGATGCAATATGATGTAAATATTCACATTGCGACATCAATGTCCAACTTGTTTGTGTTATTGGGTGTAGTTTGGTGCTGTTGGTTCCCCCCTTTGATTTTTAGCAAATTATAACATAATGTGATCACCCATGTAAACATTCATATTGCCCAGTAACTGTTGTCGTTTTCGAAATTTATTTTGCAAACATGGATGATGTGAACATTCACATTAGTGTTGATTACTGGGTAAACTTACAGTAGTAGACACTGATGTGAACATTCACATGTGAATGTTCACATTAATGTCAGAACCCCCAAACTTTACTCAACATTGTGATGAAATATGATGTAAATATTCACATTGTGACATCAATGTCCAAGTTGTTTGTGTTAATGGGTGTTGTTTGGCGCTGTTGGTTCCCCCCTTTGATTTTTAGCAAATTATAACATAATGTGATCACCCATGTAAACATTTACATTGCCCTGTAACTGTTGTCGTTTTCAGAATTTATTTTGCAAACATGGATGATGTAAACATTCACGTTAGTGTTGATTACTGGGTAAACTTACAGTAGTATACACTGACGTGAACATTCACATCCGTGTACAATGATGTGAATGTTTAAATTACTGTCAATGTTGGTTGTTGAATGTTGTTTGATGCTTCTGGTTTCATCCTCTGTGTTTCAGCCAATTATATGTTCTTATTATTTGAACACACAGGTCTTTCCCATAAAGTTGATGGCAAACGAAAGCGAGGGGAATCCCGTGCCAAAACCAAGCCTGATCAAACATCTATTCCTGAAGAAGTGAACATGAAAAAAGTTAACTACCGATCAAATATAACTTGATTGGTCAAACTGTTAAAGGATACAAAATTTACAAGTGGCCAATTGAAGTGCCTTAGAAAAACACCGTTCTGGCCATTATTTGATTGCTTGATCAGTAATGAAATTGACCTCAACCACTGCATGAAATATGATGATGTCATTGTACGTATAATACAGACATTCAAGCAATCTAGTGGGAGGTTTTACATTGGAGATAAGAACATCTAGATTTTTAGAAGCAACGTATCACTGATTTTTGGGGTGGATTGTTAAACTTAAATGATACACACACGTGAACATTCACATCAGTAATATAACTCACATTAACAGATGTGAACATTCACATCAGTAGTGTCACTCACATTAACAGATGTGAACATTCACATCAGTAACATCACTCACCATTAGTAAATGGGAACATTCACATCAGTAATAACATTGACATTAACAGATGTGAATATTTACATCAGTAATATCACTGACATTAACAGATGTGAACATTCACATCAGTAGTATCACTCACCATTAGGAAATGTGAACATTCACATCAGTAGTATCACTCACCAATACGAAATGTAAATATTCACATCAGTAATATCACTGACATTAACAGATGTGAACATTCACATTAGTAGTATCACTCACCAATACGAAATGTGAACATTCACATCAGTAGTATCACTCACATTAACAGATATGAACATTCACATCAGTAGTATCACTCACCATTACGTAATGTGAACATTCACATCAGTAGTATCACTCACTATTACGAAATGTGAACATTCACATCAGTAACATGACTCCCCATTAGCAGATGTGAACATTCACATCTGTAACATCAAACATTGATATAAATACTTGGTACATCATTGTATGCCCTTTGTGTGCAGAAAATCATGCAAGAGTACCCCCCCACAAGAGGAATAAACTGATTGATGTACACATTAAGGAGTGTCAAGGCCAGAGATTCTTAATCTTTCCAATACACGACAACTTCCACTGGACAATTGTTGTGTACGACGTGAAAGAGAATGTATGGAGGCATTATAACTCACTACGCCCAAGAGAAGGCATACATGACCCACATATTGACAAAGCACAAATACTTGTAAGTGGCTGACAAAAATAATACTTGTCGTGATGTGTAATATTTGAACTTGGACGTATGCCCTATGTTGGTTGGTGCCTAATATGAAATTTCATTGTTGGCAGAGGGACTACATCACAGCTTTGGTGCACAACATTGGACCATAATCACCATTATGGACCAATTTATCAAGCCAAAATACTTCGAAAACAATCATATCAGTGGACATCTGTCCTCAGCAAGCATCAAATTCGTAAGCCTAAAATCGATTTCTACACATGTTCCACAACCATTACCCACCAAAATTTCAAAATCTAACAAGAAGTTTGCATTTTCAGGGTGGATTGTGGGCCTGCAGTTTGTTACATCATGAGGGCACATGTATATCGTGAAGACATTGTTGCTAGCCTAGATCGCTTTGAATGGTGTCAAATAAGAGACTCATTAGTACACATTTTTCTGAACCACAGAAAGACAGTGCAATGTGAAAACCTATAGGCGGGGAGTGTCCACCTATCACTGTTACCCAAATCTGTTATCCACATTTAAGACAATTTAGTGTCAATAGATTTTTCATATTGGAGTAGACTAGCTTAATTGTAAATCAAGTCTATATCACTGCTTGTACTGATATTTTTCAGTTAATATATGTATATGCATTTTTAGGCCTATTTTGTGTTGGTCATGCACATTGAGATTGTATTTTCTTTTTTTTTTTTTTGGATACACATGACATGATGTGAATGTTCACATCACAGAATGATCGTACACTTTCTTCTGTTTTAAACCATACTACATCGACGTGAATATTGCTTAAAGTGTTCATATAACACAATATGACAGGTGTGAGTATGATATTTCTTAACACAAGTCAATATTCACATCTAATAATTTGATGATGTGAATATTCATATCATAACTTCTGATTATTCGAATGGCAACAATGATGTCATGAATATTCACATCTTATGAGTTGATGATGCGAATGGTTACATTGATGTAAACAATCATGTCATCTACTTTGATGCTGTTAACAGTAACAACAATGTGAACATTCCCACCATCGAAATGTTTGAAAGTTCAACAATGTGAACATTCACATAATGTGATTATATTACACAAGTGTCAATGTTAACATCATGCATTCATTCAAAACACAACCAACATAAATGTCAGATTGGTACCTTAAAAAAGTGAAAATAAAACACAAATCAAATACTAATGCATTATTATGTTTGCCAATGCAACGTAATCTTATTGCAATCCAATGTTTGCCAACACAACCCAATCTTATTTCAAAATGAATATAAGAATCCAATGTAAAATACAATGTTGAAATGAAAAAAGGTACATCCTATATCGGCTCTGTGCATGATTTCCGATTATGGCTCCCTAACTTATCACATCTCCCGCACCGTATTTGCTTCAGTTTCTCACCCCTTGATGGGATCCTATTCTTCTTCGGCCTTCCGGGTGGCCTTTTCACAATTGGCAGGTATATAGTGAAATCCGTGGGATCAAAAGGCGGCTTCTCCACCGATGGTATAGGGAATATGGCTCCCGAATAGGCTGCACGATATGTCTCTACATGAAAGTAATGTTCTACACAATCATTGAGATTGTAGCGGCTCTTCTGAATGGTAATAACAGCATGGTCACATGGGAATCCGTTGATTTTCCATTTGAAGCAAGAACATGTACGCCTCGCAACATCAACTGTAACAGATGGTATCGAATGAACTTCAAACACATCCTCGTTGGCTTTGCTAACTTGCCAAGACCTGCTGTCATTGAACGAATCCATAAGCCTTGTTTCGAATGTTGGACAAATAATCTCATTCCATTTGTTTGCTTGGTCACGCCGTGCAGACATTTGCCGCATTAACTGAATACGAATTGTGTCCACCATTTGAGTGATAGGAAGATTACGTGCTTCTTTAATCCGGCTATTAAATGACTCCGCCGCATTGGATGTTATCTCCCCATAACGCATGCCCCTGCACAATATCACAAATATTGTACAATACGGAATTTAACAGGTTTGACCATTCACGTTGACAGATGTGAACATTCATAGTACTGACATTAGTATACACTGATGTGAACATTCACATCAGGGTATAATAATGTGAATGTTCACATCTGCTACCAGTTTATAATAATGTGAATGTTCACATTATATGCTTATTATGTTGTCAACTTAAATGGTATACAGATGTGAATGTTAACAACAACAACAACATATGACACGTGTCAACATTCAAATCTGTAATACATTGCATGACTATTTGACAAATTAACAGATGTGAACATTCACATCAGTCATCATTAGCAGATGTGAACATTCACATCATTTACATTGAACATGAAACACAATTCGAAGATTGTCACCATTTTAAACTGAAAATTCACATCGTTACCATTCTAAACTTCACAAATGGAACACCTTAGGAAACTATTATTACCTGAAGTATGAATTTGCCCAGTGCTCAGGTGCCAAGTCATTGAAAAAATTATGAGCTCGTTGTTTACCCTCCTCTTTTAATTTTGCAAGCTTTTCATGGAACCCTACCACAGTTGGCTCGTAGGCACAGTCACCAAAACTACTTACTGGGTGATCCCTGAATCCATTATCAATTCCTTTCATCCAGTCTCTTAAGTTGCTCTTCAAGTGTTGTAAGCAATAACCGTGATGAGCCGATGGGAACACCTTTGGCATAGCTTATAACAGACCAAGATTACGATTCGAAATAAAAGTAATATGGCGCTTCCCATCAACAACCTTCCCAAGTTCATGCAAGAACCACGACCAATTGGCCGTGGTCTCTGAATCAACAATCGCAAATGCAACAGGAAACAGACCTACAACACAACACCAATACACAACTGTTCACAATATTCCAAAGTAAATAGAAAACAGTATAAACAAAACAGGTCATGTGAATGTTCATATCTACATTGCCCTATTTACTATTGTTATTTTTGGATTCAGGTTTGTAAACATCAACGATGTGAACATTCACATTAACGACCATTAATAATTCATTGTTGATTGTTGAGTCACTGACAATGTTAACATTCACAGTACTGTTCATTAATGGATCAACTAACATTAGTATACACTGATGTGAACATTCACATCAGTGTGTAATAATGTGAATGTTCACATTATTGTCATTAGCATACACAGATGTGAACATTCACATCAATGCATACTAATGTCAATGTTCACATTACTTGTAATTTACCAATCACTCTTTTGTCCAGACTATGCTGCTCAGAGTGAATATTGACATGAATAGACAGCTAAAAAAAACTACTAACCATTGTTTCCGTCTTTCGCCGTTGCCGCAAGTAGCTGACCTTTGTACTTTCCTTTGAGGAACGTTCCATCCAGGAATAATAAAGGCCGACAAGCATTGAACCCAGAAATACACGCAGCGAATGACACAAAGAAGCGATAAAACTGTTGACTACTCACATCATAGTCAATATTGACATAACTCCCCGGATTATACCACATCACGGCATCCGAATACCACCGCAGCTGGTCAAACAATAATGAGCGATCTCCATGAATACCAGCCTTTGCTTTCTCCACACCCAACCATACGACATGGTAACTCACATCTAGCCCATAATCCCTCTTCAAAATAGTCACCACCTCACACGGCCGAGTCAATGGCTTGTCCCTCACAATTTCAGATATGGTACTCGACACCAAATCCGAACTAACTTGCGGATTCTTCAATGTTCGAACATCCGTACCACAAGTATGCACATCACTAAACCTCTTAATATAGAAAAAATCATTTGCTCGTTGTGCTCTACAATGTATAGCCCACAAGCAGCCCCTCTTCTCCCGCATCGCACACACAGCAGTAACTCTTGTTGTCTCGTTCTTCACGTATGTAAACTTAAACCCACATTGGATGGCATACTTACATAAAACGTCACAAAATTCTTGTGCACCTCCAACAAACCGTTGTCCCACATGCGTAATACCATTTGCCCAAGGGGCTGACAACAACACCTTCTCCTTATGGTGGCAAAATCTCTGTAGTGCATCAATTTCTTCCTCAACCCCCACACACAGCAATCCCAAACTACTTGACTGACCAATATCACTTTTCAACTCAACCACAACTTCTACATGTTGTACCGCTATTGATTTAGCAAGCAGTAACATGTTCTGAAATTCTTCCTCATTGTCCAAATCACATTTACTAATCCCAGGTAGTTTACAGAACAATGAAATAGAACCAGAAGACAACTCATCCCATTTCTCACACAAACACTACACCAAACGAGAATAACACATTACGCGGGCAACATTTATTACAGTTGTACTACAACCATATGTACACACCAACAGCATAAATGTATCCATCTCCTGTAAAAACACAAAAACACAACAATGAACAGTAATCAAAATCGATATGAAAATTCACATTGTGCAAAAAATAAATGACTACGTGTACAGTTCAAGTGCTAAATCTATAATTCACAATACGAAGATGTGAACATTCGCATTGATATTAACAAGATGTCAACATTAAGCAAACATCAAAGTAAAATGAGAACATCAACAATCTTCACATAATATAAACAAGATGTCAACATTTACATTGACACATACACTCTGAATTATATCACACACACAGAGCCTCATTAAGCAAACATCAATTTAAATGAGAACATCCACATTCTTCACATATTCCACATTAACAAAATATGAACATTCACATTGATATATATACTGATAATCAAATCATCCACAAAGAGCCTCATTACGCATACATCAAAGTAAAATGAGAACTACACATTCTTCACATAATATGAAAGAACTCCCCTCCACAGGACCACGTAAAATGCATATAATTGAAAAAACAAAGCATCCAATCCATATAAAATTCAAAAACAGAGCATCTGATCCATTATACGAATGAAACCATAAACTGAACATGTATTCATAACCAAATTGATACTAACCTTAATCATGCAATACTACAATCATCCACAAAGTCGAAAAAAACTGATTTGAACTAGTTATAGTTCGGAAAATGTAACAATCGAACACCTTCCTCTTTGGCGTCTTCACTTGCAAACCACAGAACCAGACTACAACAACAAGAATGAAACCCTAGCACAACCAATACTTGGAACGAGCATGTAAAACATAAACGTATCTCTCGGAATTGGATTGATGATGAAAAGTGTAAAATAGAAACTACCAAACTGAATCAGCGAAGAAATAGGAACGTAATACGTATTAACACTGTACATATATATATACGGGGGCAAAATAGTCCAAGAAATCATATTAAATTAGAAAAATGGACCTTATGGAATAAAAAGAAAAGTTTATGGGACTAATCAGGTTATAATATTCCTTAGTGGACCTAATGGGTTATAACAACTCTAGAATGGATTTATCAATAAAAATCCCCAACGGAAAATGTTTTTATTTACAAATGAATGGGACTCATCTGCATATGGGCCAAATAAAAGGATAAAGCAAATTTGCTCAAAAAATAAAAGGAAAAGGAAGGGGAATTGGCACAAACATTCCAAATTATCAGTGACATGAACAGTTGAATACTACCAATAAGATCTAAAAAAAAAATACATGATTATAATGAACTATCATATAAAAGAAATGG